GTTTGATTCTCCCTCAATACATACTTGCTAAATGGTGTATCTAAGTTTTTTGTTGGTTTGTTTGCTTTGGTTTTAAGTGTATTCCAACCAAATCTTTGAGAAGACCTAACAAAAAGGAACTACTTTTAAGATAGCTCTCAATTTTCTATCTATAAGCAAGATTAATGAGTGTGGTGTGACAGATTGCTTTTGTGTGGCCTTTCTTGCCACGGTTTTGTAACTCCCACCCAGCTGACTGGGCAGCACTGTGTCATACGGTAATTGTGGCCCACCAAAGAGATTGATTGGTTTTGCCATCCCACTGGGCTTGAAATGAGACACCCTAGAGGTGGGAAAGTAAAGAGCCCACCACCACCAAAGAAAGAGAGACCAGCAAAAGAAACCCACAGGAGACAGTGCAGCGGGCTTCCTGGCCCACAGAGCGAGAAAGCTGAGTGCCTTTGGGCAGAGACTGAGGGTCAGGGGGAGGTGTGCCCATGAGCACGGCTGGGAAGGAGTTGTCCTGATGGAAAAACTGTATCCTGAGTGTTCCGGAGCCTAAATTGTAACTGTTACTTCCCTAATAAACCCCATAATCATATTGTCTGTGAGTTCTGTGAGACCATTGCAATGAAGTATCAAACCCAGCAGAGAGGTAGAGACTGCTGTGGGAGGGACGACTGGAGTTAGAATTAGTAAAGATAGTGGAGAAAGGAGGCATGTCTGACCTCTGCCTCATAGGACTCAGCCTTGGGCTGCTGATGTTGATTATCCTTTCCCCTCACGAAGTGAGAGAAGGTCAGACACTGCCCCCATGCCATTTTTACAATGAGCAGTGAAATTGAATTAGATAACCTGCCAAAAGACTAACAAGAAACTCCTAGCACTTTTCTTAGTTTACTCAGATAGCTGTTAAATTTTAGGCTCAGAAGGGATCACAGCTCACTACTATCAGGAAAACATAAACATAACAGACCTTGTTTACTTATTCAAAATCAATACAATATACTAAATAACCCAAAAACAAACCCACACAAATATACCCAATTGATTTTTAACAAGGTGCAAAAGCAAGTCAACACAGAAGGATGGCCTTTTCAACAAATGGTCCTGGATCAATTGGACATCTATAGGCAAAAAAAATCAGAAAA